AATTCATGTAGAATGACTCCTTTGTCATTACATCCATCGCCTATAGACAGCTTTTGACCGCCTTCCTTATTGATCTGACGTCCAACTGCAGACCAACATCTGTATGTAATATATAAAATATGGTGCGGGAGACCTTTATGGAAATTTAAAATTTAAAACTGCGAGCTKCAAGCGACGTGAATATTTCATATTGCATCAAATTTCAACATAATCTAAAGCATTTTTGCTAAAAAAAATTAAAATGAAGTATTATTTYTAAGGGAGAAAATCGAARTGRAARTCGTATGYAAATCAGGAMAACTATATCAATCTGTTTCTTATAAAAAAGGTTGGTTCTCGGCAATGATGATTTTCCACTGTGTTTAGCTTATGAATTATAAAGATTATTAAGTGCAGTTATTTGAATAAGAATAAAAACATACTGGTTTGGTTCAAAGAASTGCACTTGTTGCGTCAAACTCTTTCATACATATCATGCCTTAGCTTGATAATCTAACATCTTGATATAGCTCATTGTAGACATTAGGAACAGTGGAACTAGTAGTAGGCAATAGTAGTTCGAAATCTGAGATTACAAGAATCACTACGTACAAGCATATTACGAAATAGAAATGACAATGTTTTTTGCTTACCCTGTAACGTAGCGCACAGAACTTTGAATGTATAATATACTTATTGTTCTGTGCCTTATATATATAGCTATTTGCATATTTGGCGGTAAAATAAAATTATCATTTTTAGCGCGAAACACATACCATAATATCATATCACTCAGTAAGAAAGGAAATAGAACTCCCTTATAACGTTGCTCTAGGTATGCAAAAAACTCATATCTCTACGGCTGGTTTTTACTGGAACCTAATAAGCTTTTACAGAGCTTTATGTATTTTCTTATATATTTCAGTGTTAAACTTGTCTTGAATTGAAAAGAAAAGATAAATGAAGTCCGTTCATTTTGTTCAAGTCTCTTTTGTGGATATCACAAGCTCATCGTGCATGCATTTCTTACTGGTTAAAATCTCTAAAAAAAAAAACACTATTTAGGCAGCTAAGTGTCAACCATTAAAAAAACGCATGGTCGACTTTTGCAGAGAGCTTTTCCTTCGACGGTTTACTTTGGGAGAGGGAAGGGTATTTCATGTTACKTGGACCTACCCGTTTTCCTTTACAAACTTTATCCACCGTTTATGGCTCTTGTTTTTGTCTGTAAACCTTATGCAGCTATGATCGACGATCTCACGAAGAGCAGCCAAGATGTTTTCTCTCGCATTACCTTTTTAGCAAGAAAATGAACGATACAACGAAAAAGAACATTAGATATATTTAGACAAAATCACTGGAAAAAATCGTTCGCTTCAAAGGTTGTAAATTTGATGTAAGTGTCCAAAGTAAGTGTTCTGTAAATTTAATGAAAATCATTTACATCAAACTTACAGAATTTTGGACTCTTACATCATATTTAGATGAAAATTTACAACGTTTAAAGCGGTTTTTTTTTTCAGTGAATAATTAAAGCATGCAACTGAATTGTGCCATAAAACCAGTACATTTGGCTTGTTTTACACTGCAACAATTCCATATATGCACTGCAATATTTGAAATTTAATGTGGCACAGTTCGTATGCTATTGTTTTCCATTAAAGTCCCCAGCCCTGAATAACAAAACCGAAGGTTTGTAGACTCTCTTTGGACTCACAAAGAAGAGAAAGAAAGTCTTGATGGATTTTATTAGATAATTCCTATAGTATCAAACTATTTCCTTTCTGTCAAGTATGTCTTCATTGTTCGACAATAGCATGAAATACGCGATTTGCACAATGATGCTATACTACAACTACCAGAAGCTTCGCACAGTTTCTATTGACGTGATAGGAATTATAAACTCAATAAAAAAGAACTGCGCAAAAGGCTTTCTAGTATTTGTAGCAAATTTGCGCCATCTCGCAAAAGGCCTATAGCTATTCACATTATAGAAATAAAGGAAAGTTATAGTGCTAGGAAGTAGATTATTGCGGGAGAAAGATCCTTGGAAATAAATTTGGWAAAAGTAATTTCCGTCCTCGCTGGGCTTAATTTTTCCGAACATATTTACAAGGGTCTTTCTCCCGAAATCCCGGAATAACCTCCTTCCGTTCCTTTATTTCTATAKGATGTATCTCATATGACTATAGTGCCGTGCGSTCCTTCATATTGTTATTCGCGTACCACCTTTGCKGRAAAGTAGGCGTAGTGCGAAGTAGTTTATCATATACTTACGTACCAGCGCCTTGCGTCATTTCTAAAGGGATAATTCTTGATGGCCATATTTTAGACCTCGATCGAATGGCATTCTTTTTGYTTGTAACACTGATCACATCAACATTTGCGTTCTCTGATTGGTCAGTCTCTGATGTATCCACGTGACTTTCAAGTTCTGGCGTCAGCTCGATGTCACCTTCGAACATATGATTGTCTTTGATTTCTTTTGCAGTCATATGCTCTGAAGAAAAAAGGTTAAGTTGACTGTCATATATTTGACTATAGAAGTCAGTCCTACCATGTTTAAACAAAGGTGCAGCCGGTCAGGCCTGGACAGAGATTTTTTCTCCAACTGTTAARAAAGTAGTTTTGAACAATCTCTTCGTGTTTTCAATGGAATTATTATTGAACTTTAAACAGTAAATCTTTTATATATTTCAGGACCAGTTTGAAGTGGGTTGAGAAATAAACAAAAGTAAWGAGCGCTGCGGCCATTTTGAACATTTTTTTAACTATTACAGGTTTTCATCATACACTGTACTTATATTAAGACACATCTGTAATTTTTTTGTTATATTTACCGCGGTTTGTCTTTTCTATCTTGTCCATGATTGTGTTGTTATTCAAGTTCTTCGGCAGAGTCGCATCGGTGCCATCGAATAGAGGAGCATGCCTACAATAAACTGAACAACGCCAGACTGTCAACACAACAAGCTTGTCTRAAATTCTTCGACCATCGTAAAAGTGAACATACATTCGATGAAATATGGACAGGTTCAGTGAGAAAATAATTAAGCATACGAGTGGCAGTCTCCGTTTTCATTGGTGGAGAATCGACCACGTGACGCGATAGTGCTGTCCGCCGTAATAGTGCGCTTGGAAACAGGATTTTCCACGTCACATTATAGTCGCTCTCAAAAAGCAAAATTCCCACTCTTTGGCCGTTCCGACATTCAAAAGGAGACTGGGGACGAGTATGAAAATAGTCCACTTATAATCGTAATAGTCACCAATAGCCACCACATAATTAGTGTTCTTGTCAAGTTTGAGACTCTTTTGTTTAATACTCGCCGAGTAGGAAGTTTGGATTTTTGAATTTGTAAAAATGAGAGAGAATGTATGGTTTTTGGGGAGGCTGCTCAAGAGCTCCATACTTTCTTGTTATTTTTAGAATTTTAAACGCTTTCAACTCTGTAATTATTAATCCAAATAAGCTCAAACTCAGCAAGTATACTAATTTTAGTATGCTCTTTATTTTCCTGGTATCTGGGTTTGTTTTTTTCATTTCTTAAAACGGTATCGAGTTTGTGATTAGTTACCAGTCTCTTTTTGAATTTCAAAACGGGCAATTATTTAATTACTGCATCAATTTCGTTTGTCTCCTTTTGACTAAGACACTTTATAATTGTCAAGTTGTGTTTCACAGTTTTACGGGACTTCACAATAACAATATAATGCAACATTAGAGCGGATTTCGCATGACTGTCACAACACGGGCACGGCACGGTCACGGCACGGTCACGGCACGGTCACGGCACGGTCACGGCACGGTCACGGCACGGGCACCGCACGGGCACCGCACGGGCACCGCACGGGCACCGCACGGGCACCGCACGGTCAAGGAACCTCGCCTGGTAGTGATCCAAATAAAAACTAGATAGCTTTTAGAACGTGAAGTCGGGCTAGCTATTTTTGAAAATTAAAAAAGACAGGATGGGTGCACGTACAAGTATAATCGAACGACTGAAAGGTTTTAAATACGATAAGATTATGATATAATATTCTGTCTATCATATGACTGTACAATATGAATGTAAATTATAGTGTACAATATTTTTTTTTCTTTTTTTTTTAAGTTATGTATACAGTGTTTACTGATACATTATTCACAATTTATAACTTAGAGAGCGGCGCACTAAGTGCGACACCCAAAATAACTAATAATTGAATTACAGAGTTTTGACAGTTACACTGTATACCGAAGAAAAAACAACAAAAACAAGTAGTGAATGATATTACAAAGAATAATTAAATACACAGAATATACAAAAAGAGATGAGAGACAATAAAGATATTCGTGTCGTTAGAGAAAGAGCATTGTTAACATTATGTCATTTTCTCTTGTGATCCTCAAGTTTATTATTAGATTTTGCTATTCGCTTTTCAATATTCTCATAATAGATTGATAGGTTTTTAAACAAAGCTAGAATTGGAGCGTTTCCTTTTTCTCTGAAAATTATATAAAACGTCACTTTAAATATAATGAGGATCATATTTACTGTGACGTCATCAATCCCTAATAAAACTTCCTTTTTTTGATAAACTAGGTAAAAGTACGTCATGCTGTTTAAAGGGCAACTGCCCCCCAAAATTGACCGTTTTTAGAAGAAAAGTAGAACTATCGTGGATCACGAAAATGTAATTTTTAGATTGGATGTGTTATCTCTGACCCTGAAAAGAAATATAAAAGTGCAACTGCAGAGCGAAGGCAGGCGCCATTTTGAAGCATGCGCAGTTATTACATGACGTCACATCGTGAAGCCGGTTATTCGCCAAAATTGAATGTCGACATACAAACTTTTTGAGATTCAACAAATAAATGCTCAACTGTTTTGAGGTGATACAAACAATAGGAACATGAAGGTGATTCAATTTTATGAAAACGATAGAAGATCTCGATTAAGACTAGATATAATATATTATTTACAATTTTATATTGAAAGTAACGTAGATTGGAGTCTAGAGTGAGCGCACTTAATGCGTGCATAATTAAATTGAATTGATACAAATGAAGCATTCAATACCGTCTTGCTTCAGGTCCACTTTTAGTATAAATTAGAACTAAAATTCTAAAATTCTAATTCTAAAATTCTAGATTTTGTACAGTTGCACGGATTTAGTGCTTTCACTCTATTGCTGTTTTATAAATTCTTTTATACACATTTTCCCAAACAATTTTATGATCTAATTTTTTACTCAAGTTACTCTGTGCTGACGATGGTACGAAAACCTTCTCAATAAGATGGAAATATAAGTTTTTTTATCGAAATTTCTTCAAAACATATTTTACTGTCCTTTAATTGTAGTGATCTCTGAATACCTCCCCGCTTTTTATTCTTTATTTTTTTTACTTCTAACACAGAGTGAAAGCAAGGATGTGTTACTTTCACTGATTTTTGTAAAATCACAAAAATTTGTCTGAAATAGGATAAGGGTTTTTAAGGTGCACCCCCCACCCAAGTTGAGGAGGGAGTGGTCCAAACGCGATATAATACATAGACAGATAGATAGATTGGCAAAGAGGTAAACCTCAAGTCGACCCAGCCTACGGTGAACCGACTACTAAGAAATCAAGAATACATCACCATCACGGCACGGTACAGACACTGTACGAAAGTGCAGTGTTTTTTGCACAGTTATAGGAAATTGATCCGCTCTACTTTGTTTTCTTTTGTCAGCAAGGACTATAGTGCTAAATAGCGCAATGTAGTGTAAATTAGACAAACAAATTAAGAAACTGGCGCATAATTCAGTAAATATAACACTATTTTTAAATTACTAGACCGTAAGTTTGATTGTTTGATTGTTTGATTGTTCATGTTATTATTTTTCGCTACAAAAAAACAGATGTCCATTTACCAAAACTGAATTCGTCATCAGAAAAAAGTCCTAGAAAATGCAATATAGTGCAATATAGTGTAAATTAGACAACAAATTAAGAAACGGGCGCATAACTCAGTAAATCTAACATTATTTAATTACTAAGTTTTCATGGTTTTAGTGTTTGATTGTACAATATGTTGTTATTTTTCGCTGTAAAAAGACAAATATCCATTTACCAAAACTGAATTCATCATAGAAAAAAATCCCATTTTTTCATAAAAACATGCTTACCATTTTGAAAGAAACTCCATACCACAAACACCATGCAAATCGTCTTCATTATAACAGGAATTTAAAAAAAAACGTTTGACATAAGTCTCCTGAAGCTTGTTTATATATTCATCAGCGGGGTAGGCACGCCAAAAAGAACGGAGAGGGGGAGGGGGTGGAAGTCACAAACATTAAATCTTTAAAATCAGTTTTAATATCCTGTACAAATTATTTAGAAACCTTTGAGTAACAACTTGTGACCAACATGTTTCATGTGAAATTATCTAAAGGATCAGATCTTTTTTTGTGATTTTAATAGCGACAAGCATTTATAAAGTGACCTAAGAATTACCACCCTCTCT